GCTCCCCCCAAATTCTCCCAAATTCCTGCCTCTGTAGTCTGAATCTGTGTCTTGGGGCCGAGGGGGTAAAGAAGCTTTGCCCCTACCCTCTTATTCTTCTGCCATTGTTGATTTTCTCCTGGGAGCCGTGGTCAGTGGAGAGACCCACTCTGGAGTCTCTAGGGCACTGTGTTGAAGGTGCTATCGACCTGTTTTTATCTAATAGAGTATTTCTCCACGAGCAAATGGATGAGGTGTATCTGGAGTTTTTTCTCCAGGTCCCGCCAAGCCCCAGTAGTCCGACAGCCCATTTATAAAATAAACACACAGACGCTTATATTATTTACAAACTGTATGGCTGTGGCAGGCTTCTTGTTATCTAGTTTTTATATCTTAAATTAACCCATTTCTATTCATCTATACTTTGCCATGTGGCTCGTGGCCTTTCGGTACCTTACATCTTGCTTGTCATGGCAGTGGCTGGCAGCGTCTCTCTAACTCAGCCTTCCTGTTCCCAGAATTTTCTTTTTTGCTTGTCCCACCTATACTTCCTGCCTGGCTACTGGCCAATCAGTGTTTTATTTATTAACCAATCAGCATAGAGAACATCCCACAGCAATGAAGTTTTTTTATTTAATTAATAAAGAAAAGGCTTTGAAAGCATGAAGGAAGAGGATCAGTTCACCCTGGGCTACATAGGAAAACCTTTTTCAAAGAAAATGAAAACTTGTAAAAGTCATTCCAAAGGCATGACAGGGCACGGACTTCTCTGATTTTGCTTGTCCAATCCCATTGCAGACCCCAGGAAGAGTGAGGTCTCAAAGGTTCTAATGACCCTGCATTGCCGTCACATGTCTGTGTGAGCCTCCTCTGCCCTCGCCCTGGTGGACAGTCTGGGACTGTCCAGTGTTGGCCAGCATGCTTCTTTCATGTGTCTGGATTGTTCTCTGTCTTCCGTCACTTTTCATGTTGCTCTCTACAACAGTGTGTTCTCTCTAAATCCTGGTACAGGACAGCAACACCCCATACCTGAGGTCCCCTGAGGGCCTCTGCTCATCCTGTGCATCCCAGACTAGCCCCTGTGTGGCCCCAGCATTTCACCCAGTGTGGCTGCAGGTGGCCTCCGCTTGACCCTGTGGTTTCTTTTCTCAGCACCCAGGCCAGAGGGCCAGCTCCAAGGAGTGCGCACTTATTGTGGGACCTGCATGGTCTCAGTCTCTCTGAGACCGTGGGCACAGCCTCTCATAATTCCCTCTGCTGTCTCATTCCCCACAGACATTTCAATCAGGTCCAGCCATGGGTCTGTGCCATGTGTATGTCCTCCTGCCTCCTCCCTGGGGACTCCTGCACCCCATGTCAGTTCTTGCTGGCCCTGCATCACTACAGCCTCCCTGTGCTGCGCCCGGTGCTCAGCACGTGTGCAGCACCTCTGCAGCCTCCTGACATGCAGTGCCTGGAAGCTTCTTCTCCCTGCAGTGTTCCCTCCACCTCCCCTGCGCTCACGGGCTTCCCACCGACACCCCACCCCCACTTCAGTGTATCTCTTACTTGTAGCAGGCAGAGCTTCAGCTTTGCCCGATAAATGCCAGCACAGAGTGCACTGAGAAGTGGTGAGGAACAGGAGTGGGCAGCGAGGAAGTGGGAGGGAGACAAATCCGTGACCAGGGAGTAAGAATCAAGCTTCGTCACTCAGCCGGCCATCCCCACTCTGCTGTCTCCACTGTCCCCACGTCCATCATCCTCTGGGTAAGGAGAACCCACCCCCGTCTACTCTGCTGTCCCAGTCGCCTCCAAATCCACCATCCCACAGCCCATTCTAGTTGACCTTCATAGGAAAATGAAAAAACCAACTCCCTGACAAGTTTCCAAACTCCAGACCACTCCAGCATTAACTCGGCAGTGGAAAGATAGCACACAAGATCCTTGTGCTGAACTTCTGAGCAGTCTCACTCGGCTTCCATGGTCCCAGCGAGAGGAGGAATCTCTGGGCTAAGGTCATTGCCCCTCTGACAAGGACACAGCCAGGATGGGAAGACAGGCTAATCTCAGCAGCCATCTTTACTCTGGGCACTGCGCTCCCCTTGAGTCGCAGTTGCCATTCCTCATCCCCATTCACTGAACCTCTCCTGCCCAGATTGCCCATGCCCTGTCCTCCTCATGAGCCCTTTGACCTCTGTACTGTTACTACAATGGCCACGTCTAGTCTCCGGCAAGGGGCAACTGTGCACTCAGCTGAAGAGCACCGAGAGGTTCTCACTCTGAGCAACCGCGTCCTTCGACTACAAGCCCGCTTTCTCTCTGTAAAACGATGGGCAGAATGGCATGTTTCCCAGGGTCTTCAGGCATGACATTATGGTACAGCCCATCACTCCTTGCTTTGGGGTGAGTCTGCTTATAGGATTAGCGTATACCCCCATGGGACATTGGGGAGCAAATTCTGCAGTTCCCACAGCTCGGTCCCTCTGCCGCCTTCTGGATGCCTATTCTCTGCCCTTTCCCCTCTAAGGGGTGTCACAGACCACTGCCTTGACAGGAGATGCTATTGACAGGTGAGCAAAAAGAGCAGTGTGCCAGGTGAAAAAGAGAAGCCTATGGAATCTCAAAGGGCAAGGCCACCAAAGGGACAGTTGAGGACGCTGGGACTCAGGCTGATGTCTCAGGTGTGCTCTATGGATTTCACCTGTTGCTCATGACAAGGTGGGAGACATTTACCCCTGTTCCCTGAGAAAGCAGTGGCAGTGAGCAGCCCACAGTGATGCTGACCCTGGCAGGGCCAGGGTGGACACCAGGCAGCCAGCTCGGCAGTCACCACCACTGACCACCGCACAACACTCCCAGACAGCATGTCAAGTAGCTGTCGGCACTAATGCAGGAGTGTGTGTGTTTGTGTGTGTGTGTGTGTGTGTGTGTGTGTGTGTGTGTGTGTGTGTGTGGTGGTGGTGGTGGTGGTGGTGGTGGCGCTTGAGTGCCTTGGTGCAAAGGTTGAGCTAAAAGTTAATAGAGCAGAGCAGAGGAGACTGTCCTTGGCACCAAGGCGTAAGGAAAGACAACTGTCTCCGAACTGTGCCAACCCTGCCACGTGCAGCAGTTATCATTATAGTCATTTTCAGGAGAGTCACAGCACCATGCAGCTACCCCTAACATGCCCCAGGCCTTCCCTCATTCCAGAAGAAGCTCTGTTCCTCCATTTGTTCAGCCCCCAGTAACCACTACTCTACCTTCTAACTATGAGAATGTGCCTGTTCTAAATCATTATAAGTGGAGTCACTTATAATTGTCCTTTGCCTCCAGGTCCACTTACCCAGCATAATGTCTCTGAGATGAACCTGTGTTGTGGTTCATGTCAGAACTGTTGTTCTTCTTAGGACAGAGCGCTGCTCTGTTAAGTGTATATAAGACATGTGTATCATGTTTTGTCTGTTCATCTCCTGATGCACGCGGTTGCTTTCACTCATGGCTGTTGAGTGACGCTGGTGTGATTATGGTTGCATAGATGTCTAAATCACTGCTTTCAGATCTTTTGGATAGATACCTAGAAACAGAGCTGCTAGGTTACATGGTTACTCTGTGCTTGACTGTTCCACAGTGGATGCACCATGTTGTGTTTCTAGCATCACACATGAGTTCCACTTTGTCCACATCCACCAGCCTTGGTCATTTTCCACTTTATTATCATGATACCATCCTTGGGGAAGGATTTCTTTAATAACACTTTAAGTGCATGTTACCATTCTAAATAGTGATGAGCAATGGAATATGACGCACGTGTCACTGTGGCTGTCCAGATGTTCAGGCCTTACTCACAGAGGTCATATGAGGTCACTTGGGTGCTGCCTCCTGGGCATACGAGTTAGCCTGTGGAGTCTTAGCATTGTTCCTGTTCTCAAGTGGCTGTCAATCTAGTTTTTGTTCCTTTGTTTTGCCTCAAAACTAATTATGTCTGTATTCCAGATGGCTGAATGTGAGACAGTGTGAACACTGGAAAGAGTGTTGTAATACACACACACACACACACACACACACACACACACACACACACACACCCCTCTACCTCTGTGGTCCACAGTCATCATGGCGGAGAGAGAAAAAATTGTCCTCTCTTGCATCAGAAATGAAAAAAGTACCATTTTGTAACTTGGAATGATTCAGTAAGGACGGTATCTGAATGCTAACACTACTGAATGAAAGTTAGGAAGTGCACAGATCACTGTGTGCCAGAGTGTCACTCCTTGGGTTGCTTCTTCCTCACAAGAGGGCTAAAGAGCTTGACACTGGAGAGGGGACTCTGTGTCAGTACCTCCACTCACTCACTCAGCATCATGTGGAGAGGGCCAGCCCCCCACAGGCTCTTCCTGTTCCCAGAAGGTTAAGGTAGAGGCATCACCTGCTCACCAAAAAATGTCTAGCTGCAATCCTGCAGAGACTCCAGATCTGACCTCGATTCATGAGAAATCCAAGCGAGAGCTCCAGCTGAGCTCTGGTCAGCCAGAACTTGGTGTAGACCATTCGGCAAGAAAGCTGGCCTGGACTTACTAAGAAGTCGAAGACCAGAGGAAGGTGTGAGATTCTTCTCTTCTAGATGAAAAATAGATACAGCATTTTAACCACTGACACAATAAGAAAATAGTCCTCGACTAGGACCCAAGGCTGAGGGAGTAAGCTGCAAAGGGTGGGGGCGATAAGCATGGACTGGAGGCCAGAGACACCGCAGGATGATGGGACACTGGAGCCAGTGAAAAACTGTCCTTATTCCAAAGGCACACGAGTAGATTCCCCTACAAGGAAAGTGTTGTGGTGTCTCCAACATACTTTCAATGTTTCTGGTAAAAGAAAAAGAACTAGATACAAGGAAGCAAATGTGTTAAGATATAAGGACTCCTTAGATCTGGGTGAATGTGAGAGTGGCCGTATCCGGCTCCAGATCCACGCGTGTGAGGCTGTGAACTGGCTTGCCCGCTGTTGTGTATTCACGCCTTGCACTCTCCACCACGTTCTGAAAGCCTCTTGTCTTTGTTGTGCAGTGCGGGACCGGGTCAGGTCTAAGATGGAGAGAGACATCCTGGCGGAAGTGAATCACCCTTTCATCGTCAAGCTGCATTATGGTAAGTGCAGCGCATGGCAGGCTGAGGAGGACTTAGGTGATGATGTCTTTGATCGGAGGAAACGGAGATCGTAATAATTGGTCCAGAAGAAGATCCTGTGTCCGAATCCTGTCTCGTGTGGAGACAAAGGTCTCTTAAATCCCTGCTCTTCAGTCTCTTTTCTGTTTGCTTTTCCTAAAAGAGCCAGATGCCCTTCTTCATTCCAGAGACCGTGTGAAGTGGGGCTACCCATCATGGAGACATCACCAGGCTAATCTGGTACGAGGGTCTCCACCTCGGTTGGGGTGAGACATGATGGCTTACCCAGTGGTGCTCAGGATACGGTGTTGGTCACCAACCTCTGCCTTCCAAGTGAAGGAAGAGTGGGAGGACAGTGGAGTGGACCTCGACTGCCCCTCAGGAAAGGGCGCTGTTTCGGGTTCTTAAAGCTCAGAGCAAGAACTTTGACAAACCTGCCTTTCCACACCACACCAGTTCTCTGCCTTTGTGTCTCACCGGAGGAGCAGGGGGGCGAATCCATAAACTGGGGGTTACCCAGTCGTGTACCCCACAGTCCGCTTTCCTCGTTAAGGAATTCATGTGTATAGGGGACGGAAAAGAACCAGAGGTCAGAGGTCCCGATAAACAGGAAACAATGGCATGAATGCACCTTGGGCTGGGATGGGGAGACTTCCAGAGACCAAGAGACCAGTTCAGGCCTGTCTTGACTCACGTGGTGCACATGGCCCTTCAGAGAGAACAAACCTGGCTCCTCTGTTGCTGAAGGGCCAGGTGGGACCCTCGGTCTTCCCAGCCGTGGCAGCCATGGTGAGAGCCTCACCCTCCTCCGCTGGCAGCAGATGGCAGGAAAGCCTGGCTCTCTCCCTCTCCCACCCGGCCCCAGCTGCTGCTGCTGGGCCATGGTCAGAGCAAAGCCTGGAGCTGCTGTCTGGAGTGTTTCAGTTTTTAAAACTGATTGAGCTCTCTATTTAAAAAACAGAACTCCTCCTCTCAGATTTGCATGTCATCCCTTCTCGGGCCGTGCTGATCTTCTCAGGGTGTGTGCTGGGGTCCAGGCTGCTTTCAGGAGGAAGTTAAAAACCGGGTGACCTACACAGACGTTTAAACAGACATTCTGCATTGCTTCTGGTTCCCACTGCCCATTAAGGCCCTCGCTGCACACACCGCAGTACACGCTGCATACCTTACAGTACACACTGCAGCCCTGCAGCACACACTGCAGTGCACACTGCACACTGCACACCCTGCAGCACACACTGCGGTACAGACTGCATACCTTGCAGTACACACTGCACACCCTGCAGTATACACTGCAAACCTGCAGCACACACTGCAGTACACGCTGCACACACTGCAGTATACACTGCACACACTGCAGTACACATAGCCCCAACTAAGGGTCTTTCAGTTAGCGGCCATGTTTCTAAATGCCAGCATTTATAATGTTCCTGGAACTTTTAGAAAATGGGAAAAAAATTCAATACGCAAAAAATAGCAGGGCCCTCTGGCCTGGTAACCTATGTATACAACCTGATGCCAAATGGTGGATGCTTCCTGATGTTGGCCTGACCATCATGATTGCTGACCTTCTCTGACATTGACCTGGCTACCACGGCTGAAAGACCCTCCCTGATACTGGGCTGACTACCACAGCAGTAATATGACTCTTTTCTCTAGGTCCTTATATGCTCAGTGGGCCCCTCGGTCCGAGGTGTGCCCTTGTTAACCCTGGATGTGAGCTGTGTAGACTGTGGCCTGAGTTAGTACCGATAAGTTCACACAGAGCATGAGCTCTCTTTTGACATGTAGACAGGCAGACAGAGCAGTCCTCAACACTCAATACTACTAGAGTGGAGAAGGTCCAGAATGGTTCTCCTGGGCCCTGAGTATAGAGGGAACAGAAATGTGCTTCCTGTCTATCAGAACCGCCTCCCATCGCCAATGTTACAGCAAGTTGTCTGCCTATAAGACCAGCTGTGAGCAAAGCCTAATTAATAATGCCAATGGAGGACACACATTTGAACACAGACTTTCCTCTCTCCAAGTCTTTCAGTCTGAGATTAAAAGGGATAAGGATGGAGGAAAAGGAAAAAGAAAGTTCCAAGACTCCAACAAAAGTGAGAGACCCTGAACTTAGTCCCCATCTCCTGCTGCTGGGCTCTGTCCCTGGCCGGCTGACTTCCTGTGGTCAGCTACGCCTGTCCGAGTGAATGGCAGCTCTATAGAGCCTTGTTGAACCGAAGGGCTTTGGGAAGAGCAGAGATTTGATGGTCAGAGGGAGCAGTGTTCTTGGTGAAGTGTTCAGCTGTGTCTCCTCCCACAGCCTTTCAGACCGAAGGCAAGCTCTACCTGATTCTGGACTTCCTGCGGGGAGGGGACCTCTTTACCAGGCTTTCCAAAGAGGTAAGTGACCCTACAGCCCATGGTGACTTTCTGTCTAGAAAAACAGGAAGGGAAGAGCATCCAGGGAGATGGGCGTGCGAGGTAGTACGTGTATGATGTGTGATGTGGACATTGAGTGTGTGTAACGTGTGATGTAGTACAGCATGTGTGGTTTGTGATATTTGGTCTGTGTGATGGGAAGTGTGTGATGTATGTCTTACGGATGTGTGGTAAATGTGTGTCAGTTTTCAAAAACTTGTACAAAACTAGCCATGGTTACATACACCCTTAACCCAGGAAATTCGGGAAACTGAGGCAGGATTTTGACTTCACTATCAGGGTAAGATCTGCACAGTTGCGTCATCAGACCTCCTAACCAAGTTCGTGATGACATTTGGGGGTGGCTGTATTTGATGGCGTCTCACTTCCCATCCGTGGAAGGCACAGTTAACGCCGTGTGGACCTCTCCTCTGGGCAGTGGTCCATCCCTGTGTGTTTGTGTTTAGGAGCATCTTGTCAGGTCTTTGCTCCCTGGGTGAGCTTCATTGGCTTCTAGCTGCAGAGTTAGTTTTGTGTACCAACACTTGAAGTAAGAATGCTCCAGAATCGTACTGTGAAGGTCCCGTGTCCCTCATGAGTTGAGGAGCATTGAGCTATCTTTGTGGGATGGGGAAATCCAGAGTTCTGTCCACAGCAACAACATTCTTGTCTTCTCCTTTGAATGATTCTGTAAGGCTCAGTACAAAGAATAAGAGGTCTGGCAGCATGCTGAGGGAATGCTCCTCACTTTTTTCCAGCTTTTGATTTGCCCTTGACAGTGGTTTCCAAGTCACCCTCTTCTTCCCTCCGCCTTTCCAGGTTTTCAGTAGGTGTGCCTTGCTTAAAACTCCAGACAGACAGGAGCTCAAGGTAGAGCGTGTGGCCAGGCGGGAGAGGGCTCCCGAGACTGTGAGCTGTTCTCCCTCCGTTTCCTGGAGGCCCTGCAGCAATGGCACATGCGGGGGAAATTCTGGGCTCTGGTGATGGGATCCTCCACTTCTCTTAGCTCAGAAAACCAGACCTTCTGTGGTCCTCTTTTGTTCAGCATCTGGTGAGGTAACCTATAGCTGGGCTTCTCACCGAAATGATGGGTAGAAGCCCTGGAGCTCCTCACAATGGGGCATGTGAGACCTATTATTGCAGAGGGGTAAAGTGGCCACATCCGGGCACACGGGTTCTTGATTGGCAACTTGAAAAGCCTCTCCTGGCATTCTGTCCTTCAGCAGAGCACTGGACAGCAGCCTGCTGTGTGCGGCCACCATGCCTGCTTTCAAGAACTCACCTGTGGGCCGTGGATTGATGGTGGGTTTGGGAACCACACCAGATGTACCCCGAGATCTGGGGAAGCAGAGAGAGATAATGGCTCTCTGTGTACTAAATGCCTCCAGGCATAAAAGGGACCTCTGCGCATGGTGGGATTTAACTGTGCAAACCACTGGTTAATGCATCCAGAAAAGACACTGACAAGAGGAGAGGTGCTAGCCACATGTGGGAAATAGAATAGAGGTGGAAGGGTGCTGGGAGGTGGAGAGGATCCATAGTCCAGGGCTAGCTCCCAGGGGTACCAGCTGACACTTCATAGGACCCAAGACAGGTGTCCTTACTAGGAGCTGAGAGCACTGTCTGCTTGGCTGGTGACATTCACCACACTGTCCCATAACTCACTCATTTTAGCTCTGGGTCCATGCCACACTCAGTTTGCATGTGAGTTTTTTGTGTGTCTGCTTTCAAAGAAAATTCAGTGATAATACGGACTATAGTCTCTTCAACACGAATGTCTCGTGGTAAATGTGAAAGTGGTTTGCGAGGGCCCTGGGGGGGGGGTGTGGCCCTGTGAATGAGTACTTCCTGTGCAAGCATAAGGACCTGAGTTAGGGTCTCTACCACCCATCGCCAAAGGCTGGGTCAGCAGCACACTCCTGTACTCTGGGCACTGGAGAGCAGTTCCAGGGTATGGAATCAGGACATCCTGGGGCCAGCCAAGCCTAGCCAAATTGGTGAGATTTCCTGTCTCAAAACATGAGGTGGAGAGTGTCCAAGGAAGACACCTGAGACGAGCCTCTGGCCTCTGTGCACATATGTGTAAACACATCCATATGCGTGTACATGTATATGTGTAAGATCATGTAAGGATTTGCCTTCCTGCTGATATGACTACAAAATATGAGCAGGACATGACAAAGCAGTGTGAGCCAGTGTTCTGAAGGCCACTGGCTCCAAGGCGTCCCGATACTCTAACTGGCCTGGAATGCAGCACCAACCCCAACAATCACAGGCCCCTCTCCAACCAACACATTGTACTTGGCAGAGTGCATCCCTCTGTGCAGAGGGCAGGTGATCAGGCTGCCAGTTTGCGCATCAGCCCAGGAGGGGACAGGAGAGGGAGGGAGAAGAGTGAAATTGGAGACCCATGTGGAAATCCTTCAACCTCCACAGTGTGGTTTGGTTATTTGAATTGTAACATCCATCACGAATTCACACCAGAGCGTTCCTGATAAGACAGGAGCCCAGGGTTGAACTGCAATCTGAGCAATTGTAGGGTGAGGCCGGGTTGGCGGTGGGATGAGGTTGCCCTCACAAGGCTGACCAAAATCAACTCCATGAGAGCACAACCTCCAACCGTGAGAACGCTCCTGCATTAGGAGTGGCAGGCAAGTGTTGTGGGAGAGCCAAGATCTCCACATGCATATTCTGGGACAGCACTGGTTTCTTTGGGGAGTTCTTTGAAACAAGCAGTCATGGGACAAAGCTGAACCGTGGTCCTTTCCCAACCCTCTAGGTCATGTTCACTGAGGAGGATGTCAAGTTCTACCTGGCTGAGTTGGCCTTGGCTCTGGATCACCTTCATGGCCTGGGGATCATCTACAGGGATCTGAAGCCAGAGAAGTAAGAGGAAAGGCATTCACAGCCTACTCGGGCATCTGCTGCCAGCCCACGCCAGGGGCTGTTACCTAGGATTTATTTCCCAAGTGTCATGTGGGTGGGTCCTGTGCTGGAGTTCTAAGAAGGCTGAGCAGATGACATCTCCTTACCCTGCACAGGCGCTCAGCAAATGCAGGGCCTGTGTTATCATGGTAGAAAAGTGCCCATGTGTGAGGCCAGGCCACATTTGTTCTTCACCATACACAGATGACCCGACAGGTGGGGCCTAAGGCTGACTGCACATAATCCCTCCCCCGTCCAGCAGCTTTTGCCACCAAGAACCATTTGTCCCCATCCCCAGCCTCTCCGTCTCCTCCTCCTGTTGCCATTCAGGCTTGGATACCTTCTAGCGACTGCCCTGAGCTCCAGGAACATGGTCAGTTAGCCTCTTCTGAGATGGCTAACTGGGAGATGGCCAGATTAGTTCTCTCGAGGGATCAGCTGTGGGACGGTGGCCAGAGGGTCCCCAGGTCAGTGTGTATTGGGGGCTGAGAACCTGTAATGTTCTCATTTCTGGAGTTGTCTGTTAATCTCGTCTCCATGAAGACAGGAACCACCCTGCAAAGTAATGGGGTTCAGGGTTCCCATGTTCTTCATGCCTAGGCCGCGTGTGACATGTTCCCAGGGCTCATGCGAAGCTTATCACAAGTTTACCTCACATTAAGTAACACGGAGTTCATAGGCCTTATACAAATCTATGCATACATCTATGACTCCTGTGGAAGACTTCCGTGTGCTCAGAGCCACTCTGGGCATCAAGGCCCTGGGCCCCCACTCACTCGGGAAGGCTGGGATAGTTCTTGAAGCTGAAGGTAGTAACATTTAATTATGGGATAAAGACAAAGACTTTGTGGTCCAATTAGAATTATTTGGGAATGAATCTTAAAAGTTGCTCATTTCTGGGCAAAGATTCAGTGTGACCGAGAAGCAAAGACAAAAACATTTGCCTCTTTAATTATGACTTGTCATTTTAATTAATGTACCATAACCTTTTTCAGAAAACACTGGATATTCTTAAACCTGTGACAAATAGTTTTAATGCTATAGAAACACAGAGAAAAACATTTACCCTTTATGTGTGGCCAAGGGCACAGCTAGGTGACCATAGCAAGTTCAAGTGTCATGGACCCTCACCACTCCCATCACCAGAGTGCTTTTCAGCCTGCAGAGCTGTGAATATCCCAGCTCTCACCCAGCCTTGGCAAACCCATTCTTTGTGAGTGTGAAGCTTTATGAATTCCTTGCATGAGTGGAAATCTAGGCCTATGGCAGCCTCCCCACCCCTTGGGTGTCGTTTCCTTCCTCTCCAGCCACGTCCACATTTCTTTAGGGTGAATGGTAGCTCCTGGGATCTCATGGAGCAGGATTTACGTCAGTCCTAGAAACAGGTAGAAATCCTGGAGCCCCAGGTCTCAGGGTGTCAGAGCCGCTCAGCCAAGCGTGCAAGGGAGAGGAGCAGATGATGTCCCATCATGGGATGGGAATTCTCTACATTTGCGGGATGACTAGGAAGAGCAAGGCCAGAGGTCAGCTCGTGATGTGAAGGCTCACTGGGAAACAGGCCAGGAGCCCAGAGGCTTTGGTATTGCCAGGCTTGCCCCGGGTTCCATCGCAGGATGAAGCCTCAGGCAGCCCAGAATCCCTCTGCTGAACCCCAGCTGTGCGTGGCCCTTACCAGAGACCAGGATTGGTCCCAAGTGCTGAGGACAGCCCCAAGAGAGTCTGAGATTCTGAGAAGAGGTTCTCTAGGTGCCATGGGTTCCCAGGGTCAGGAAATTTCCTCTGCAGAGTCTGTGGGCATCTATGGGCCAGAACAGTCAAAGAACCCACTCTTCTGTATTTGGAAGGGGCCCAAAGGTTCCAATCTGATGACTCAAGAACACGCAGCCCTGCAGGCCCATGACCAGGCTCCTTGGTTCCCCTCCCCCAGGCTCATACCACACCCTTCTGTTCCATTCCTGAGCTGGTCCAGGCTACTGGACACAGACTGCCATAAGAAAACCTACCCAGGATGCGGCCATGTCAGAAGCTCAGGCATTGAGCAAGGGCATCTCAGCTCCATGGGGCTTTTCTCTGACTCTGTGTGCCAGGGGACTATGAGCTCTCTGTTTTTTTCTCTCTCTGAAGTCTGTTTTCTTTCCCTTTCTTCCAGTATCCTCCTGGATGAAGAGGGACATATTAAGATCACAGGTTAGTAAAATAATAATAATAATAATAATAATAATAATAATAATAATACAGCCTTATCTCCCTTATCAGCCCTGATAAATTTGTGGACCACCTCCTAACAGTACCCTGTCTCATCTCTGACCTGAGTGAAGTTTTGGTGCCCAAGTGCTGGCCTTCTGCATGTGTACACATAGCAAGGGGACCTCCAACTTCTGGAATACTTCCTCTGTTCCCCTAAAGACTCCTTCCAAGCAGTGCTGGGCACTCACGTGTGTGTTCACAACAAGGGCACACTCAGACTTCTAGATCAACTCCTCTCTTCACCTGCCTAAGGCTCCTTCCAGGCCTTGCTCAGCATCACTGGGCCTTTAACTAGATGCCCTGAGCCCATGCTCCTCGGAGGCAGGCACAGGGCCTGTTCAGTGGCCCTAGCCTTGTCTCCCACAGCAGCGGCCCAGCTGCCCTTGTTTATATCCAAACCTTGCAGCATTGATATAATCAGCCCAGCTGCAAACAATGTGTACCCCAGCTTCCAGGGGCTTCCCCCGCTGCCTGTGTGTACCCCAGCTTCCAGTGGCTGCTACAAGAGGTTATAAAAAGCAGATGATTTATCACTTTACTGCTCTGGAGCTGTTAGGTGTCAAGACTGGCCCCTGGGGAGAATCCCTGGCCTCGAGTCCTTCAGCTCCACATAGAGCCCCTCCTCTTCTGCAGCGCCAGCATCTGTGGTCTCTGGTTCTCTCCTCCACACAGAGTCTGCAAGGTCATTTGGACCGTCTGTTGAATACCCTGCCTCAGGATTTGCACTGTACGCCTGCACGTCCCCTTCACACTACAAGATAATCTCTTCGCAGGTTCTAGGCCATATTTGGGCACCGTTGTCCTGCCCGTTGGCTGGTCCTGGCCAAGTCTCCATGTGTACCGTAACCCAGAGTCCACTTGCCAAGGACCTGCTTTCCACTCGGGTGCCAGTCATGCTTCCTTTCCTCCTGCCTGCAAGAACTGCACCTCATTTTTCTCCATCTGGGCCCCTCAACCTGCGGTCACCCCATGCTGATACATGGGAAAGGCTTTCTGGGAATTCATGTTCACTACCAAGGAGTTAACCCCTTGCTACTGTGACAAGGCACATGGTGTGTGTGGGGTGGGCTAAGGGGGTAGGTATTCAAGGCTCTTTAAAAAATTCCCATCTTTGTAGATCTTAGCCTCAGGAACTTGCTGGGCTCTGAAAGCACATTAAGCCTGAATTATGCAATGTACACGAGGCCCTTTAGTCTTTGAGAGAAGCGATGTACATCAAGGGATCTGTCTACATAGACATGGGACTGTGGCTCAGAGACTCAGGCAGTGCCGTGTGTTGTGCTTATGTTTAGATTTTGGCTTGAGCAAGGAGGCCATCGACCACGACAAGAGAGCCTATTCGTTCTGTGGGACTATCGAATACATGGCGCCTGAGGTGGTGAACCGGCGGGGACACACGCAGAGCGCTGACTGGTGGTCCTTTGGTGTGCTCATGGTAAGGCTTGTCCCCTGGTTTACTCTCTAAAGGTGGCTGTTCCCCAGGCGAATTCCTCATCCCAGCTTGATCCAGAGACTGGAAACTGGAGAGGAGTCAAGGCTTGAAGGGCCCTGGGCCCGCCTCTTACCTGCTCGGGAGGAGCAATGAATTTTAGAGCAGCCTTCCCCCAGACTGTCCTGGTTCGTTCTTCTGAAAATGGAAATGGGGTTCAGATGGGACCAGGCCTTCTTCATCATACTTAGCACCACAGATTGAACAAGAATGTGAAGACAGACAGTAGCTTCTCTGTTAAACATATCTCTCTTACTTCAGATGAAACCCTTTTGCTTAGTTGGAAAATTTGGCATGCACCAAAGTGTTCATGGAACTAGCTGGTTTTATATTTGCATCTAGAAAGGGTACCCATTTTCCAATCTGGGCATGCTCCTCCTTTCCTCCTCTTCCCACCCCGGCAGGACAGCATGTTCACTGACCCCTCACATCTCCCTGTAGGCCAGATCCTGTTGCTCTGGAATCTAACACCACTGACAATCAGGGTCACGGCCTTTCCCAGCACCTCTTAGTTTGAGCGTTTCACAACAGAAGAAGCTGAGACTGTGAGACCCTCAGTAGGTGTGGTAAGAAAGGCTCAGACAGCTCTCAACATGGTCCTGTGCATCCAAACATGCTCCGTTCATGGTCACAGCCACCTGTCATCCTCCACCCTGTGGGACCCACAGCCCTGGAGCAGGTTTGCCCCGGGGATGTCTTGAAGCCTCAAGGAGCCATGGTCACCAATACTTGGTCCTCAGCTAGCCCCAAGGCTGTGTAAAGCTGCTAACTTCTGGGGCCCTTCCAGCCAGCCAGCTGGGGAGAGGGCTTAACTCATAGTAGGAGATAGACGCCCTCTTAACGCGGAACAGAACCGTTCGTTCCCTCCCCTGCCAGATCTTAAGGGAAGCTGGTTGGTCATGGAGCATCACAGTATGCCGCATCCCATGAGAAGGTGGCCACCATCAGCCCCTCTCTCTTGCACCTTAGGCTGGAGCTCAAGGCTGCAATACCCTGAAATCCAAGGCTCCAACATTTCTACCTCTTTTTAAGACTGTCACGAATTCTGCTCCATGAGATCCCAGGAGGTCCTGTCCACCCTGAAGAAACTGGGAAGTGGCTGCAGAGGGAGGAAGCAATACCCTGCGGGGTGGGAAAGCCTACCACATGCCATGGTAGTTACACTCACGCAAGTTAGTGGTGCAACATGAGGAATGAATATCACGGAGGAGGGAATAAGGCTGTGCATGATTATTCAGACCCTGCAGGGCAGCGGCTGGAATACGGGTCTCTTTTCCAGAAGGCTATCAGCCAAGTCCCAGGGTTGTCTCAAAGTGCCTTCCCCTACTGATCGAAAGGGTCTTTTTTTCACATACTAAAGAGACAGTTAACTTTGCTCTCTTCAAGGTGATTTTTGCACAGATAGCTGTGCTCACATACAAACACTGTTTTCCTTTCTCCCCTGGCACAATGGTTCTCAACCTTCCTAATGCTGTGACACTTTAATACGGTTCTTCATGTTAGGGTGACCCGCAACCATAAAATTTTCGTTGCTACTTCATAACCATAATTTTACTACCGCTATGAATCCTTATATGAATATCTGATATGTAGGATACCTGATATGAGACCCCTGTAGGGGTCTCACCCACATGTTGAGAACCCCGGTTCTGGCAGGATGATGCATGCTTGCTGATAGGAAAAAGAGGGATGGAGGGTGATGCTCCTTCCTTGGAGTCCTGCTCCCTTCCCTTCCGGCAGGCTTTTCTGGAAGGTCTGAAATCTCCTTTGCTGACTCTGGGCTGTAGGTCAGGCGTTCCTGTCCTTGCAGCCCCACACTCCTGGAAACCGCAGCCGCTTCAGGAGCAGGCTGTCCCCACTGCCAGCCAGTCCAGGCTTCCCCCTGCCTCCAGCAGCTGTGGTGGTGGCAAACGGTCTACACAGCAGTGCTGCGGACAAACCTTGGTCCTGTGAAGGAGGTCATGGACTCCTGTGCTTTCTGGCAGGGCAGCTGATGTCGGGGGTAAGAACAGGGGGCCAGGCTGGCTCCTAAGTCCTCCCAGACAGCTTCCCCATATAGTCCCGGGCAAGAACTACCTCTGGGTACCTTCCCTCTCTCTGCAGCTCCTGAGCATTCTGGTAGATTACCACACTACATCTCTCTTCTGTCACTGTGAACGTTTGCAAATGTCCCCCAACTCAGATTCCATGTCACCTGCCCCAGACTCCCCGGCACGGGAGCCCTGCACCGAGTCTGGCTCCCAAGGACAATGGGAACATCGGTCCCACCACATAGCATACCTCACAGTCTTTACCCTGCCTGGGTCTCCCTCTCTCCCAGAGCCTGCAAAGCTGAGGCCGGGAGCTAGCTCCTGCTCCCAAAGGTGTGCTTACTGTAGTGGCTACCACAGGTTACCCGCCAGAGCCGTTGTGGTCCAGGTTCTCATACAGAGAGGGCAGTCTTCTGAATGGCTCAGTCGTGGGATGGCACGATACTTGATTTCATTCATCAACCTGACTGGGTAAAGTAATGTCTAGCACCTTAATGAGGCACACTTTGGCGTGTCTGTGAGGGCTTTTCTATAGATCCTGAGAGAGGAAGACTAAACCTGAGTGTGGGCAGGAGCATCCATGGGCCAGGATCCGGGACTGAATAAAAGTGGGGAAATGTGCAGCAGCGTTCATCAGTCTGCATTTCCTGAGCCGACCCGATGTGAACAGGCCCTGCCTACCACCATGGCTTCCCTACTGTGACGTGAGAGCCTTCTCATCAGGGAAGACAGAACTGACACCCCACCCCCCTGCACGGCTCAGCAGCTTGCTCTGCTGCTGTGACAAAATGTTTGACAACATCAGCTTTGGAAGCAAGGTCGGCCGTGGGTCACCGTGTGAGGGTGACTCTGTCACGCTGGGGAAGGTGTGGCTGCTAGAATGGCCCTGATGGTGGTGGCTGGAGCTTTGGAGAGTTGGTCACATTGTACATGCAAGCAGGAAACAGAGGGGGGGGGGAATGCTGGTGCTCAGCTGTTTTCTCCTCCTTTCTCTGTCCAGGACCCCAACCCATGAGATGGTGCACCCACACTCAGGGGAGGGCCTTCCCTCCTCAGAGTCTCTCTCTGGAAACACCACTGTAGACATACCCAGAATTGTGTCTCCTAGAAAATTTTAAATCCAATGAAGTTGACCATTGAGATTAACCATCATGTTCCCTTAATGGACATTTCACCACAGCCCAGAGAAAAGCAGTTAATCAGCCTGAGGTCCTTTCATTTTAGTTAGAAGGACTCCTCATACCACGCCTTGGGACAGTTGGGAAAATGCTGTCAGGAATTCCAGCACTGTTACTCACGAAGCACAAAGCAGGCACAGTATCACCGGCCACAGTAAAAGGCCACATGTCACTGGAGGGTTTCTGGGACACCCTCATCTGAAACCCCCAATCTCCAAGCACGAAAGGACAGAAATGAAAATCAAGGCTCGGAGAAGAATGAGCAGCAGGTCCTAATACCCACATCCCCTGTGTCCGGCCCGACTGATCACGTGATGACCGGCTTCTCTTAGGCTTGACTGTGGCAGCCTCACCTTCCCAGTGCTTCCTTGGGTAACCTCAGAAGTTACTCTCCAGTTCTCAGGTGCAAGTAGGACATGAGTGTGTTGTTACCTCACCTGCTCAAGAGACCATTTGGGGACTGCTAATGTTTGTGAGGCGCTCTATAGTCAGGAATCCTGGGCCCCATGATAGAAATGAGGACTTAGGAAGTCTGAGCAGGCCTGACCTCTAAGGTGGCCTGGGGAGATGTGTGCTGTTCATAGCCCCATAGGCAGGGGACTGGCCCCCAAGTAATGCAAGAGCCTGGGTCCACATCTGAATGTTGACTACAGAGCCTTAGGTCAGTATAGATCACTATTTACAGCATACCTTGCCTGTTATTCAGAAATATTCAAAACATTTCTGAAGGGCCCACGGCAATCATATGACACCAGAGCCAGCTGACTAAGACCTACTCAGAGTTCTGCCAACCATCCCCAACCCTGCTGTACCCAGACCTTGGTCAAGGTGTCTAATGGTCTCCACCAATCCCAGCTCTTCATTGCAGCTGGGATCTGCTGCTGACACCAGCTTTGCCTCAGCATAGGCTTTTGCCTATGTTTATTTTATTTTATTGCCTGGGTGACCTGTGGACTGTCAGAGAAAAGACCCAAGGGGATGCACTGGGGATGCACTGTCCTGGTGTGAAGTGTGGTTAGGAACTGCTAGGTCAGCAACCCGGCCCCTGTGAGCCCTGTGGGAGCCCCTGTGGCTGGACACCCTATGCTGGGTCTACTACTGTTTCAGGTTTCTGTGGCTCAGGGGAGTTTTCAGATCCAACTGATTTCTTTTGAAGAATGTTGATCCACCAAGTGAATTTGGATGTAGACTCATGAATTTGGATGTAGACTCCTATGAAGATCACCCTTCCAGAGAATCTTCTCACGCAGCTTCCAGGAGGCTGCAGGAGAGGAGTGTTCACACCTTTCTCCACTGGCCATGACCTTGGGTTCCTCAGATTCCCTTGAGCCAAGACCACCTTAGCTAGCTACCCACCTCCCTGACCTCAGACTAGATGCAGGCGGCACCGAGATCCATGGCAATTTAAACTGCTGACTTTGGAACCGTTCCTGGGGTCTGAGGACTGCAGCCGGGGAGTACCGTTTGTCATCCTGGGAGCACCGTGAAGCTCATCAGTATCTCATGAAGTCACCTGGAGTGTCACCCATGCATGTGTGCTTCCCGTGGGAGCCAAGGGAATCTTGGCTGCTGTCACTTCACTCAAGAGCCGAGGTGGTGCCAGGCGGTGGTGGCGCACGCCTTTAATCCCAGCACTTGGGAGGCAGAGCCAGGCGGATCTCTGTGAGTTCGAGGCCAGCCTGGTCTACCAAGTGAGTTCCAGGAAAAGGCACAAAGCTACACAGAGAAACCCTGTCTTGAAAAACCAAAAAAAAAAAAAAAAAAAAAAAGAGCCACGGTGGCTTCTAAAACCAGGACACAGGTCTCATCAGGGGAAGGCATGTACCAGGCCCCAAGCCGAGACATAAAGGACAGATATTTCCTGAGTATCACCCAGAAATGATCCCCTTTCTGCAGGCTCTTAGGGTCTGGAGATGAAGCCAGAGAGGCTTCCAAAGCAGACGTCTCATCCGCTGTCACACATCATCAAGAAGAGGTACTTCGCGAGCATTGCTGTGTGCCCCTGTGTGGGTCTTTGCCATGCAGACCTAGAAATGAAGCACCTGAAGGGAGAGAGGGAAAGCGGAGGAATGCGCAGAGAGCGTGGACTCTGATTGTTACAGCCACCAGTGAAAGCCAGGAAGAAATCGCTAAACGGATGCTGCCACACATTGTTCTGGGGCGCCAATCAGCACCGAGGCACCCAGACAGGGAGGGGGGCTCCATTTCTGCAGTAAGGATTAAATGGCCGCAGGCGGGAAGAATCCTTCTTGTTCTGCATAGTCACAGGCTCTTTCTTGGAAATGGGGTTTCATGAGCGCCATGAATAGACTCAAAGGAAGAACCAAACAGCAAGAGTTCCCCTCACCGGCAGCCTATTTTGAGATGGTAAGTTCTATAATCAGCTTATGAATGCTCATCCTATTTATCAGTCGCTCATCTCCGAGTCAGAGCATCCAGCCTTTCGTTTTAATTACGTTTGTCTATTTTTAAACTCTCATCTGGACCCATTGCTCCCGCCTTTTATTGCGTATACGTTTGTTTAATGCCTGCAGCCTGACATTCTGTGCGCACCAGACCGGCAGGGAGTTCAGTGTAACAGGGTGAACTTCAGATACCTGAACTGGCAGGGGCTTGTTCAGTTCTTTAAAAGTGGGTTTACAAAGAGAAGACCGACAATAAATTGTAAGCATCCCTCTTCCACCGAAAGCCTCCTCTCCAACAAGTCTCACTCCCACTCTCGTGACATATTTACGTGGGAAGTGGAATGACTAAAACCCATTATGTAAATGTATGAAACTGTCAAACACTAATGAAAAAGATTAAAAACTGTAACCTTATCTCTCTAAGTTTATAACTTCACTCTGATAGCCTGTCAGTGCTGGTTGCCCTTCATTATTGCCTCAGCTGGATTCAGAGCCACCTAGGAGACACACTTCCGGATGTGTTTGTGGGAGCATTTTCAGGGAGGCTTAGCTGAGGAGGACTCACCACAGATACGGACGGCACCATCCACACACTGGAGAGGGAGGGAATAAGAAGCCCGCTCAGCACCACCATCTGTCTCTTTCTGCTTCCTGACTGTGGATCTAGTGTGAGCAGCGTTTCATGCCCCTGCCTCCTACCTTCCCTGCCAACCCTGGCTGCCTGTGAACTCTCTTTCCTTGAGTTGATTTTGTTTTTTACAGAAATGAGAAAAGTTAATGTCTTATCACACCTGAAGTTCAGGTAACGCTTAGGTACATTTCAGTCGAGCGGAGTGAACCTTCTCAACCTTCCTAACGCTGCGAACCTTTCATTAGTTCCTCATGCTATGGTGCCCTCCAACCATAAAATTATTTTGTGGCTACTGCATAACTGTAATTTTGCTACTGTTATGAAGTGTAATGTAAATATCTGATATGTGGGATATCTGATATGCGATCCTTGTGAAGGGTCACTTGACCCCCAGGTTGAGAACCACTGGTCTAATGTATTCTGTTAGTAGGATCCACTGGTGACATCCTCAGTACCCAACGGTAGGTACTTTGTTTAACTCATCCACAGCACCCACCAGGGAAAGGGAGTACCTACACCATATGTCAATCATTCACCATGTTCATCTTTCACGCATCTCCCACTAGAAGGGGAACCTGGAGGCCAAGGTCCCCAGTGCCTCCCCATGTGGCTGCTGTAGCACTGGCTGATGGGGTTGGAGGTGAAAGAACAAACTCATCTGCTCTGTTTTGCTCTCTCTGCAGTTCGAGATGCTCACAGGGTCCCTGCCATTCCAGGGGAAGGACAGGAAGGAAACCATGGCCCTCATCCTCAAGTGAGTGTGGGGACCCACTCCAAGGCTGAGAACTCCACCCGGGGCAGAGCCTTGGGCTTTTGTGTCTGTAGCTGAGGAGGAAGTGGGCTGCTGGGTTCCAGTGGGAGCCATGGTGTTGGGGAGGAACCACCTGTTCTCTCCTAATCACCATGGATGGAGTGTAGCCGGCTGTGTGTGGGAACCTTGGCTGTCCTGGAATATCCACCGGGGGATTCTGATGAGCTTTCAGACTTAGACAGAGAGAGACTTACGTAGATTGTCCAGTGCTGGCTTCCAGATACTGTGACAGTGAACTTCCAGGTGGCTTGAGAACTTGAGGCGTCTCAGAGAGGGCACAGGAGCAAGGCTTCCACTCTCTCTGCTAACCCTGCACATGGTTACCTATTACCCCCGCCCCCTGACTGGAGTTGGCATCGTTTGGATGCAGGAGTGCTCTCAGGACCACAGAAGAGGTGGTCAGACCACTGGCTAACCCTTGGCCATCTGCCGTAAAGTCCTAGATGAGCTGGGCATGAGCATCAGAGAAGAGCAAGAGGTGGGGAGACGGGAACCCCGAATCAGCCAGGGTTCCGTGGAAAAGTCATAGCACTGTCCTTGTGACCACCACCAGAATACTGGCGTAAAAGGACATTACTAAACTTAGGAGGCGCCAAGCATTGCAAGCCACACCTTTGTAGCTTCCTCCCGTATACAGGGGATAAAAGGGGATGGAGGAAACTCCATGCGAGGACACATCCCAAAGCCTTGCATGTTCAGAATCCCCCTGTGGCTCCTCCAGGGCAGCACTTGATCCATGGTGACCACGGGGTGGCTGCCATAGCTGTACCTGTGTTCTTGTGGGGACACCCTGTTCCCTGGGTTTCAATGGGAACTTGATTTACTTTTGATGAAAGCTGGAGCTACCTCAGCAACCCCACGTGGGCCCATGCCTGTTCAGGGTGCAGGTCAGCCCACGCTCAGTGCCTGGTCCTGAGTAAGGTCCAAGGACTCCAGGGTCCATCCAGCCTCTCCTTTGGGATGTTTCTTTCTCGGACATTCTCCATAGTTCTACAGCAGCCCTTGCCAGGAAAGATAAGAGACCCACTGTTCCCAGGGTGCCGGGAAGGAACTCACCAAACTTAAACCACTAATGACCGCTCTTGCTCAGAGGAACTTTGTATTAGGAAAACTTGGTTTTGAAAAACAATTTCCATTGAACATGTTGTTGGTGCTCAGGGAATCACTGTTGCTGGTTTGGTCATCTGCTGTGTCTTAAATGGACTGTTAAGTAGCAGTTGTGAGAATTTCACACTTTTAATTTTGAATATGGTCAGCAGCCAGCTACAAGCCACACGCGCTGAAGCTCTTTGGTGTCTTCACGTAGTTTTAAGGCAAGACGGGATCCCCTGGCCAGAGTGCTGGCACTCCTGCTCCGGGTGGCTGGGGGTCTCTTCCCTTGCAAGCAGAGTGGCCACACGGAACTGGAGACCGCACTCATCTTTGCCCTGCCTTCTCACCTGCATTCCATTCTGTCTTCCAGAGCCAAGCTGGGCATGCCACAGTTCCTCAGCATGGAGGCACAGAGCCTGCTGAGGGCCCTCTTCAAGCGGAACCCCTGCAACCGGCTAGGTAAGGGTCCCCATGGCACCCCCTTCTGCAGGAATGCAGTCTGCCCTCTAGACCCCCCTTAGGAATGTGGGGGTCACCATTCTGTGCCCCCATGGGAACATGGAAGACTCCCTCTCTGTGCCCCAACTCTGACTGAACTGTGTGATTTGCCTTGCTGAGGTCACAGGAAGCAGAAGGTCCCCAAAGCAGGGGATACACTCACACGTGGTCTAACCTGTTCTCACATGTGGTCTAACCTGCACAGACTCATGGTCTAACCTGCACAGACACGTGGTCTTATCAGGACTGCTGAAAGGCATATGAGTCTCAAAGTATCATCATTTGTTTTTTAAATTCTCTGCTTTTGCACAAAACCGCTGTATTTTCTTCTGGTCTCATGTCTCCATAAACTACACATAGATTGGTTGAAGGATCACTTCTGCTCATGGCCTCTTAAATTGAGAAGCCCAACATGCACAGAGCCCAGACTTACTTTAGCACCGACCAAGCACCGTCCCCTCCCCCAACCACACAGGGTTTACTGCTTGGCCTGGAAACGGTGGTGATGGACTGAGACCCAGGGACGGGGTTCTGGTCCTGTGGCCGTATGAGCGCAGCGTGCTGGCTAGCCGTGCGGTTTATCCCACAGATGAGCAGCAGGAGTGCGCGCCATTAGCTCCAGCCTCACAGACAGGAACACGTCACTCAGAGGCGAGTCAGGAAATATTTCATTCTAGAAGAAATAATTAGATTTTTCTCTCTGCCTGGCTCAGCCCCAAGGAAGCTCAGGCCTCATTTAATTTCTTCCATGTATCAGTTTCAGGTCAGGGAACTTCTGCAGTAATTTACAATCTTCCAGTTATTAAAAAAGTGAAGCTACTATTAAAAGCACTGTCCGCTTCCTGGGAACATCCTTCTAGCGTGTGAAGTGACCGGTCTGCAGCGAATGTGGTCTAAGGAATACAAACTGCTGCTGTACCACTCCAACAGAGACACAGACTCACGTGTCACACCCAGCTAGTCCCCGCGAGGTTGCTTTAGAAAAAGTCCACTTCACGAGCTTGTCAAAGACACCCCTACTATAGATCTGCTATAGTCACCCCGGTCCAGATGCCCTTGGCACCACCTGCCTCCCCACCCACGACCGTCACTCCCCCAGGCAAGTCTCTGGGGAACATCCCCAGTGAGAATGGCTGCCTCGCAGTGGAGAGGCCTAGAGTGGACCACAGGAGACACTGGCGAGGTCACTTGTCCCGTGTGGGGCCTGTGATGGCCTCTACGGCTAAGCTTGTGAGGCACTGTGAAACGGGCTGTTCTACCACCGCACGTTCACTAGGCTCTCCCAGGGGCACTTTACCCTTGGGCCCAAAAGCTGGGACTGTTCGCCAGCTGGCCAGGGCCGTTTCCCCGGCAGGAGCTCACCAAGCTGACCAACTGGAAGGTGAAAGTCCCAGGTGAGCATCTGTGGTCCCCAAGATGCCAGTGGGGTGAGGAGATGGCAGGCCCCAGGATGGGCATGCGTGGAGCCACCACGGACTCCTTAGCATGGATGTGCTTTCAGGGTCGTGTGTGCTGGGCACGTGATTTGGAGGGAACCCGTGGGCCAGACTGTCCCCTGTGCTGTTGTTCTTGGACGAGTTACGCAGATCTCAGATGGGACCTGAGACCTCAGCCAGGAATCGCTGTGACTTCTCATGGGACCGAGTGGGTTATGAGCGTCTTACTGGGTAAAGTCAGGCTCGCATGGATGTGGCCTGTGGCCCCCACAGCCCTCTGAACTGCCGGCTTGGCTTGGCTTTGTTCCTTGGTTCCGATAGGGAATGTGGTCATGGAGTCAGAGACAGTGAGTGGCCCATGCTCAGTCAGGCCTGCTGCAGGCAAGACCTCCTACCCTGAGGGGGTGGGGCACGGAGGATGGGACACTGAGTCTCCGGCAGGGAGCACGGTGATGTCCAGGACCTGGGTGACCACTGGTCCCAGAGCTGCCCTCTGACTACACTTTCTCCAGGGCAAGGGCAGCTGCCCCAGGCCAGCCTACAGCCCCTCTTGGATGAGCAGTCCTGAGATGAGCCTCCCTGGGCACAGGGCTGGCCACAGGGCTGGGCACTTGCTCTCCGAGATGCTGAGGATCTCACCAGGGCATTGCTCGCGCTAAGCGAACACTTTACCACAGAACTACCCCTCCAGCCCTTTTGCTCCTCTTGACACAGATCTTATTAAATTTCCCAGGTTCCCCGGGAATCCACTCTGGAGCCCAGATAGGCCTCGGTCTCCAGAGGAACTGTGTCAGAGCACACCTGAACACTCCTACCCCTCAGAACACGCTGCGGCTGAACCCCTCTGTAGCACTGAGTTTCCCCGAAAATGCAGGAGAATGCCTTCACATGGCATTGTCACTCACGTCTGAACCCCAGAACCCTGTCTAGATCCCTGCCCTGCTTCCAACCATCTTGTAGATGTTTGGTCCCAGCCGGTTCTTTCTGGTGAGCCTGGGGCACACCTTGGTGCCCCTCCCTGAGTGGCCTACACTGTCCAGTGTAAGTACAGCCACGCCGAGTGGGACCCTGAGGCAGTTTGGGGATGGTGACAGCCTGTGACAGATGTGACAGATGCTGCTTAGTGACCAGGTGAACGGGTCCCTGCACGTGACTGAGTGCTGTGCTCCAGCAGTCACCCCTGAGTCCAGGCCTAGTTCTTGTTGCTCGCCTCTCTCACAGCAGGCCAGGTGCTGATGTAGGTTTTTCAGGCATTGCCTGGCAGCTGGACTGTGGTTATGGAAAGCCTGGCCCCGCCCCCCACTCTCTTCGTGTTCTGTGCTCTGTGACTTGCCTTTTTATTCTCATGCTTGGCTGCCTTGTGATCGAGGCCATAGCATCCGTATTGAAGGGAAGAAGAGGTGGAGATTGCAAGTGCTTGTGTCCCTGTGGTCAGGAAAGCTTTTTGAAAGTCCCCTCAAAGGGTATCTGCACTTCTTGTTGATAGAACGTGGTCACCTGGCACTTCTGAGTAGAGGAAAGGCCGGAGAACAGACCTCTGTTGGAGTAACATAAAGAAGGCTGGGAATCGGGTTTCATTAGCAGGCACCAAGGTCAGCCAGGGGGTCCGGCAAGTCAAGCTTGGCTAAGGCAGATGCACTGCCTGCTTGCCTTGGACCTGGGCTGCTGGATTATGGAAGCCTCGGGGAGCAGTTGCTGATGCTGAGGGAATGGGAAAGGGGTGTTATCAGACACTCCGAGAAGATCTGAGACGCGGAGGTCAGTGGCTGCCAGTGTGGAACCCAGCCGAGTCCTTATTCTGACATTCTCCATTTTCCTCTTCATGGGGTAAAGCGGAAGAGATATTGATAGCAAATGTGTGTCTGAGTCCCGCCGGGCTGCGTGCAACGCTCCCAGCTAGGGCTCCGGCCACTAGAAGGTGCTGACTGTACTCAGTAGGCTCCTGTTTACTTGGTGTTTCTCCACCACGGACTTTCAGGTGCACTTACTGGTTGGCTCGGCATTCACACCTGAGGTGTTCCTCTCTGGTCTCCCTGCGGTGTGGTGTGGTGGTGCCCAGGACCTGCCCAGGAGCAGCCATGGCATTCCACTCATTCCTGTGCTCGTCCAACCAGGAGGTTTGGGGAGCCTGTTCTATCTGGCTTTTTCATGGACACCTGCTTTTTAGGACACCGGACACCGGGGATATACAAGGACTCTTTGTTAGAAGCCTCAAAGCGGGGGACAGGTGCTCTCTGACTCCCACAGTGCTTTGGATGCAGCCGTCTCTTGTGCAGAAATCATCATGCTGCTGACAGCCAGGGGGCTTTGCTGTTGTAGAGCAGTGTCAGGTCCGTGTCCTGCTCAGAACCTTGCCTCACTGACTGCCACGCAGGGCACCCTCGTGCCATGCCCACACGGTCCCCGGTGGGGGTGGATGCCCACATGGTCCCCAGTGGGGATGGATGCCCACGCGGTCCCCGGCGGGGGTGGATGCCCACGCGGTCCCCGGCGGGGGTGGATGCCCACGCGGTCCCCGGCGGGGATGGATGCCCACACGGTCCCCAGTGGGGGTGGACAGACTTTGGGAATGCTCTCCGAGTCCTTGGGGGTCTGCCAGGCTCTCACATAAACTGTTGTCCGTTCACACAGGGACTCTGTTCTGTCTCATTCACACCGAGGTTGTCCCTTTTCTCCCGTCCCCACCACCAGCCCCCTGAACTCCCACCACGACTGCACTCACTGAACTGTAGGGAGAAAAATTGCAATTTATTTATTTTCCTTGAGTCTTATATACTTTTCATTCTGGGCAGAAAATGAGCATAAAAGATAGGACAGTTTAGAAAAACAGAAGAAAGATAATTACATGAAATTCTAGTCTTAACGGATTTGTGTTTATTTTGAGATCGTATTTATCGGCTTCAGTGGCATCCAATAAGGACTTCAATTCTTTACCAGACTTCCTGTCTCTCACAGGGAGTTGCGAGCGCAGATTTCTTGCTTCCTGAGAATGTCTTCGTACCTGTTTCTTTTTTGTGTGGTGTTGGGAATAAACAAAAAGCCCTGGTCCTTTTACACCTTGCACTTGGACGGGGTATAGATTTGCTTGGCAAGGTCTCAGTGGAATTGATGGCACCCTGGGATGCTGGTCTGAATTTATCCCATCCTAATTCCAGCTAAATAGTGAAAGCCCATGATCTTTATCCAGTCAACTCTACTTCAGTGATTACGCCCCTCGGTCGTGTTGACAGATGTCCCGAGGAAGCTTTCTATCACACGCTAGCTAGCTGGCCCGCAGCTGTGGGCAGCACTCAGCCAGAGCAGTGAGGATGTACCTGTGCGATATGGTGGATGCTTCAGTTTAAAGGGGGAAGGGAGCTAATTAAACAGTGCGCAGCAGCCCAAGGTGGCCTATCTGCATTAGAAGCGAGGGGAGGAGATGGATCAGATGTGCTCATCTCCCAGGTGGGCAGGAGAGGGGCGTCCCTTCCTTCCACCCCATGCTCCTCAGCAGTCTGGCTCTGCAAATAGTAGACACATAGCATT